GTTGAAAGTGGTAGAGTGCTAGACTTGAGTGAAAAAGTTCAGGGACAGTGTTCAGGCCCTAAGTTCAAGCCCCACGACTGACAAACAAAACAAAAAACAGAAAATGATCACCTGATCATTGTTATAATGCAGACAGGATCAAACAAAGCTGTAAACAAAGGCCAAATCTGGAAGGAAAATTAGAGAAGAAGTAGGATATTTGCATGATCTGACCATGTTTAGACAAAACTGTTTATTATTTGAAATGGAGAAAATAACAATCAAATCATGACTCAGTGACCACAGTACCAACAACAGTGGGGGACATACGATGCTGCCTGTCTCCACAGTATGCCGGGAGGGCATTGCACCCCATGCAGCAGACCACACAGATGGCAAGACTTGAATCTAATCACCAGGAAATGCCAAGCTCATATGAAAACATTCTATTTTTAAAGAAGAGGGAAGAGGGCTGAGATGTAGCTCAATAACAGAGCACTTGCCTGGGTTCAATCCCTAGTACTGAAAAAGAAAAAGAAACATCCTCTTAAGCTGGGTGCCAGTGACTCATGCCTGTAATCCTACCTACTCAGGAGGCTGAGATCTGAGGATCACAATTCAAAGCTAGCCCAGGCAGGAAAGTCCATGAGATTCTTATCTCCAATAAGTGATTCAGAAAAAGCCAGAAGTGATACTGTGGCTCAAGTGGTAACATGCTAGCCTTGAGTACAAAGAGGCTCAGGGACAAAGCCCAGGCCCTTAGTTCAAGCCCAGGACTCCAGAGGGGAAAAAATGGAGAAGAAAGGCCTGGCAGACAAATTCTCCAGATTATTTTCAAATAACCAGCAAAAAACTGGAAGTAGTGATGTGGTTCAAGTGGTAGAGTACCAGCCTTTAATAATACAACTCGAGTTCAAGCCCCAGTATCAGCACAAAATAAGTAAATATAAATAAGATAAATATAAAAACAAAAAATGGATAGCATTTGTTTCCTTTCATACGTAAATCTAAACAATGACATATGTACATGCTAGATGATGATTATTAGAGGCTGGGAAGTAGAGGAGGGGATATAAAAGAGAGTGCACAACAGGTATTCAAGCACAGTCAGACAGAAGGTGTTAAGTGTTGTAGAGGCAATAGTTCACAGTAAACTTATGTGTTTGGGGGAGATATAGAGGAGAGGAATTTGAATTTCCAACCACAGGAGAGGCCACTGTAGTAAACAATGCAACCACTACACGCAGATATTGACAACACAGAAACTAGTGGTTTGCAGATGCAATTTATTAGCAATTACTTTATAAGCAAAATGTCCAGATGACTATGGATAGAAATTAGGTAACAGAAAATGATCACTGATTAGTGAATATTACAAGAAAGTGTCTATTAAACTATGTTCATTTGTAGTTGAAAATAAATCTAGTTGAAGAATGAAGTCATTCATAAGAGGAAAGGGGAGGAAGAAGGGGAGAGGAAAGGGACATGAGGAAAGGATGGGAAGAGAGAAAGTGACACTTGGTCCTAAACTCTTTTCTCCTCCTCCCCTCCTCCTTCTCCTTCTCCTTCTCCTTCTCCTTCTTCTTCTTTTCACTATGATGATGATGATGATCATGATCATCATCATGATCATGATCATGATGAGTTGGTATCACTGCTAGGGCTTAAACTCAGGGCCTGGTCCCTTAGCTTCTTCCACTTCAGTCTGGCCTTCTACACTTGAGCCACAGCTCTGCTTCTAGATTTTGCTGGGTAATTGGAAATTAGAGTCTGCACAGGCTGGCTTTGAACTTTGATCTTCAATCAGTCTTTTGAGTAGCTAGGATTTAGGTGTGAACCACCAGCTTACTGGTTTATTATTGATAGACAAAACAATTTGCCTCTCTTGAAAATTCTTCCTAGTGGCTGTAAACTCTGAACTTTTTCCAGTTCTCTTTGTTGAATCTATGTAGGATTCTTATCTCAACTGTTAAAATCTACCCACACTCATTACTTCTTTTGTTGGTACCCAGCCTTGACTCAGAGCCTCACACACTTGAGTGTCTTTATCTGATCAAGACTAAGTGCCAAAGTAGCAGGTTATAAAATTAACCCTAAAAAATCAATGGCTTTTCTCTATGCCAACAATGAGAAAAGTGTGGCTAAAATCAGGAAAGCAACTCCATTCGTAATAGCCCCACAAAAAATAAAATACCTAGGAATTAACTTAACCAAAGAAGTAAAGGACCTCTATGATGAAAACTTTAAAAACCTGAAAAAGGAAATCAAAACAGAATTTAGAAAGTGGCAAAACTTCCCATGCTCCTGGATTGGAAGGATGAGCATCGTAAAAATGGCAATACTTCCCAAGGCTATCTACAAATTCAATGCGATACCTATCAATATTCCAACCTCATTCTTCAAGGAAATAGAAGAGGCAATCCAAAAATTAATATGGAACAATGAAAGACCCCCAAATAGCAAAAATGATCCTTAACAGAAAGAACGGTGCTAGAGGAATATCAATACTAAATTTCAAACTCTACTACAAATCCATAGTTATCAAAACAGCTTGGTATTGGCATAAGAACAGACCTCAGGACCAATGGAATAAAATTGAAAACCCAGAAATGAACCTACAGACCTATAGCCATCCAATCTTCAATAAGGGAGTTAAAAAAATAGAAAGAAAGAAAGACAGCCTCTTCAGTAAATGGTGCTGGCAAAATTGGTAACTACCTGTAGAAAACTAAAGCTAGATCCTTATATATCACCCTGCACCAGAATCAACTCCAAATGGATCAAAGACCTCGGAATTAAAACACACACTCTGAAAACATTACAGGATGGAATAGGAGAAACCCTAGGTCTTGTTGGCACAGGCTGAAATTTTCTTAATAGAGACCAAGAAACACAACAAATCAAAGAAAGGTTGGACAAATGGGATTGCATGAAATTGCAGAGCTTCTGCATGGCAAAGGACATAGCTAGCACGATCAATAGAAAGCCCACGGAATGGAGAAGATCTTCACTAGCCATACAATGGACAAGGGTCTCATATCTAAAATATACTTGGAACTCAAAAAATTAAATCCCCCAACAACAAATCTTCAAAGAAACAATTGCCCAATAAATAAATGAGCTAAAGACTTAAAGAGAAACTTCTCTGATGAGGAAAGATGGATGGCAATAGACACATGAAGAAATGCTCAACCTCCCTAGCCATAAAAGAAATGAAAATCAAAACAACATTGAGATACCACCTCACCCCAGTTGGAAAGGCTATAATCAAGAACTCTTAATAACAACAGATGCTGAAAGGGATGCGGACAGAAAGGAACCTTACTGCATTGTTGGTGGGAGTGTAAACTTGTTCAACTTTGGAAAGCAGTATGGAGGTTCCTCAAAAGACTCCACGTAGAGCTCCCCTATGACCTAGCAATCCCACTTTTGGGCATTTACCCAAATGTTTACAAACAAGACCATACTAAAGCTATCAGCACAACTATGTTTATTCGCAGCATTATTTACCATAGCTAAGATATAGAACCAACCCAGATGTCCCTCAGTAGATGAATGGATCAAGAAAATGTGGTCTATATACACAATGGAATTATATGCCTCTGTCAGAAAGAATGACATTACCTACCCCATTTGTTAGGAAATGGAAAGGCTTGGAAAAAAATTATATTAAGTGAAGTAAGCCAGGCCCAAAGAACCATAGATCCCATGGTTTCCCTTATTTGTAATAACTAGTATATGTCTGAGTCAAGCAGAAAATGTCAGATAAGTTGATGTTAGGCGAAATGAACCCCAAGATAAGTATTCAAATGTTTTTTCTTTCATGTGATTGTTTCTAACATATTTATAAGATGGTTTCTTTGTTACTTTTTATGTCCCTCCCCCACGATATAACCCCTGCTTTCACTGTATTTGATGTTGGTATAATTTGTGGAGGGGAAGGGAAAAAACAAATCGCTTAAATAGGGATACAGGTAGACCCATGGCAACAACGAGAAGTACAAGTCGTTGAAAAATGAACTTTACAACTTTGTCGGGAGCAGGGGGGTAGGGGGAACATATGTGGGGGGGGGGAGGAAATGGAAAGGGATAGGAAGGGGAAACAAAGGAGGAGGCAACAATGCTTGATAAGAAATGTACTCATTATCTTGCCCATGTTATTGTAACTCCTCTGTACAGTATTTTCACAATTAAAAAAAAAAAGACTGAGTGCCACCATTTGAGCCACAGTGCCACTTCCAGCTTTTTGGTGGTTAATTGGAAATAAGAATCTTGGACTTTGTCTGAGGCACAGGCTTGCATGACCCCACCTGAGTATTTGTGTAGTGTGTGTGGTTATGTGTGCTGTTGTACCAGGAGAAAACTCCTCCATAGTCCTGGCAACAGCTGGAACATCCAGCTGCAGCCTCGGGGGGGGGAGGGGGGGAGGAGAAAACTCTTTCCAAGTCTGGGCAAAAGTCTAGATGCTCCAGCCACAACCTCTGGGAAGGGCATGCAGAATGTGCTCTTCATGCCCCTCCAAACGGCCCCATAAATAATCCCTCAACACTTCCCATATGTGTAAACAGCTTCCCATATGTGTAAACAGTTATGCCTTGTTTATATCTTGTAACCTTTTGGCCTCATAAAACTGTCTCATGTTCACTGACTAAGATTAACTCTCTTGGTTCATTGACTAAGATTAACTTTGTGTGTATGCTATATATAAGCATGTCATGCTTCCAATAAAATTTGTCAATACCCTCAAAGTGTAGTCCACTCTCTGCCTACCAGACATTGCATTCCCAGGTCTCACTGTGTGAACAGCAACAGACTTTTTTGACTAGGCTGGCTTTGAACCACAATCTTCAGTTTCAACTTCCTAGGTAGCTAAGATTACAGACATGAACCACTGGTGCCCAGCTGGAAAAAGACATTTATATTCTATCCCATTCTCTCAGGGGCAGCTGAGTAGAGCAAACAGAGAAAGGCCAATGTGCCAAGAATCAGTGAGAAGACTCTGATTCTTACTGGTTTCAGTCATTTTTATTTACTGAACATACTTTGTAAAACAGAAAACAAGGGATTCAGGTAACTCATTTTCTAGAGGCCTGGCACTGAATGTTACCACCAGTGTTCTGGGGTGTGTAGAAGGAAGACAAAGAAAGAACAGCACAGCTAGCTATGGCCAGTGGCCTTCTAGCTACGGATGAAAAAGGACTCATCAAAGTGGACAGGTAAGCCATTTTCACAGGCAATTACAATGTGTCTGAATCCTGCTGTGGCTCGGTACCGGCAGGGAGGCCGGGAGGACCCTCCTCTATGCTTGCAAGTGGTGACTTGGAAAGGAGATGTGCTAATTCGTAAATTTCCTCCATGAGGGTTTCCATTATCTCCACAGATGGCCTTGATGTGGTCTTTGATGCCATGAATGAAAGTGTTGGTGTCTTTGCAGGGAGAGGTGAGGCCTCGTCTCTTCATCATGCGTTCACAGTATCTGTCATTCCTGCCCTTTGGACTGGCATCATGGTGCTTGGTGAGGAAGGCTTTGAACCTGGAGTCATCCTGAGTCAGGGTCAGTGGGGTCACACACAGACCCAGTAAGAAGACCAACAACAAGGGGCCCAAGCCCATCACAATTTCTTCCAACAGAGGCTCCTGCCAAAGGCAAAAGGAGGACTGGTAGAGCCAAGGAAACACAATCTAAACCAGGCTATAAAGGTCTAGGCCTTGTCTCTCTGACTGGGCATCAAGAATCAAGTCTCCTTAGTCACTTTTGACCTTCCTCATTAACTTTACACCTTTGCTTACCTAGTCCTTTGGAATATCTGTTTTCCCAATTTCCAGCTCTTGCCTCTTTCTTATCCCAGAGGATACTTACAAAATCTATTCACAGAAGTCGAGATATACCCAAGTAGCCTTGAATGAGAAAACCAAGTGCGAGCTCAATGTCTTGAGTTCTAGCTCCAGTGTCAGCACTCACACCTAAAAAATTAACCAGCAAAATGCTACACTAGAGGCATGAGTCAAGTGGCAGAGTGCCAGCCATGAGCAAAAGCCAAGTAAAAGCTCAGCACTCGTGTGAACACATGCATATATCCCCACACACATACACACACTCCATTCATATTCTTTGTTTGTTTTTTTTGGTTGGTCATAGGCTTGAACTCTGGGCTTGGGTGCTGTCCCTGGCTCTTCAGCTCAAGGTGAGTGCTCTACCGCTTGAGCCACAGTGCCACTTCTGGTTTTCTAGTGGTTTATTGGAGATAAGAGTCTCATGGACTTTCCTGACCAGGCTGGCTTTGAACCATGATCCTCAGATCTCAGCCTCCTGAGTAGCTAGGATTACAGGCATGAGCCACTGGTGCCCAGCTTCCATTTATACTCTTTAAATCATCTATTCATTAGCTTATTTAAAAATATTACAAGCCTGAGCTGGTAGCTAACTCCAGTAATCCTAGCTACTCAAAAAGAAGAGATCTGAGGATTGAAGTTCAAAGCCAGTCTAGGCAGGAAAGTCTGTGAGAGATTCTTATCTCCAATTAATCAGAGAAAAAGCTGGAAGTAGCACTGTGGCTCAAATGGTAAGGTGCTAGCCTTGAGCAAAAGTTGCTCAGAGACAGCACCCAGGCCTACAGTTCAAGCCCCAGAACAAACATAAATGAATGAATGAATAAACAAACAAACAAACAAATAAATATTACAACTAAGCACTGATGACTCACACTGGTTATTCTAGCTATTTAAGAGGCTGAGCTCTGAGGATCATGGTTTGAAACCAGCCCTAACAGGAAAGTCTGTGAGACCCTTATATCCACTAAACTACAAGAAAAGCTGCAAGTGAAACTGTGTCATGAATGGCAGAGTGATAGCTTTGAGCACAAAAGCTCAAGGGAAGCACCCAGGCCCAGAGTTCAAGACAAGGCCAGACCAAACAAACAAATAAAAAATTATATTAGTCCCTTTTAGGCCCTAGGACTGTTCTATAAACTAGGACACCAAGACCAGTAAGATGTATCAAGGCCATACGCGGTGGTGTGTGCATATAAGCCCTATTACTCAGGAGGCTAAGGCAGGAGGTGGCTTGGGCCTAAAGTTCCAGGCCACCTTAGTCAACATACAAAACCATCAACTGCTTCCTTAAATGGGAATGTGATATCTGTAGAGAAAGAATGGGATCTCCAGCTACAAGAGGAGATGGTATCTAGAAAGTGAGAATGGTGAAGAATGACTTTTCAGGCACTCGCAGCTCAGGGTCAATTAAAGGATTGTTTTAGATGGGATTCCACGCATCCACTTGTGAGTACAGAGTCACCCTGAGGTGGAGAGGGAGGCCAACTTTCCCAAGATGTAAGTTGGTTCCTGGTCAAAAGCAGAATTATTATGTAGAATTATTATGTGGAATGTAGAATGTACAGGGGGGAGCAGTAAGAAAGCAGATAATGTTTGCAAGTGGGTCTGGGGTCAACAGCAGAAAAAAGAATTCAAATTTATTCTTTGAAGTGTCTCATATTGGATCAATTTGGATTATTCTACAGAATATTTCCTAGTTTCTCCGGTGTATGTATATAAACATTACATGAAAGACAAATTATATTATGGGTTAAAAAGGCAAAACTCCTAAGACCTTTTCTTCAAGTCAAAGGGCTTAAAATTTCTGTCATGTTTTCCCAATATCTCTCTGAAAAGAAGGAAGAGAAGATCCCTGACACCATCTCTCTGGAGCTGTCAGCTTGAAACCTCAGAACACACATCACCAAGCAAGGTGTAGGGCAGTGTGACACAGATACCTGATCATACCTACAGGGTGAACATGGAGTTACTTCTTGAACTGAATGTTAGAGCATAGAAAACAGAATCAAAGAAGAATTGTGGCAAAACATAACACAATAAATTTCTTAACAACTTTTGGGATTGAATTTCTTACAAATTTTGAAAATCTGAGAATTTAATGAAGATATTTGGTTTACAGCAGGCCATTTCTAACATTTCTTTGGAGGAACTTTTAAAGCTCATTAAGAGCATCTAAAATTTACCATAGAGACAGGACATAAGGTAAAAAAATAACAGATTAAAAAGATGGAGGTTTGAGGACAGTGGGCCCCCCCACACACACACAAAAAAAAGGTTATCAAGCCTCTGTCTCGTTAGGCTGGGTGTGATGACAAATGCATTTCATTCCAGCTATGCAAGTGGCTAGAGTGGGAGGAAAATCCACTCCACCCCCAGGATTCTACTTGAAAAATAACTATAAGAAAAAGGTGCTAGGGGTGTAATTCAAGTGGTAGAGTACTCAAGTACCAAAACAACCTACCATAGTAAATCAAATGTCTAAGAGTATCCCCACATCCAACAATACCATTGACTTTTCACTACAAAAATTTAATTAAGGGGCTGGGAAGGTGGCTCAGTGGTAGAGCGCTTGCTTTGCATGCCAGAGGCCCTGGGTTCGATTCCTCAGCACCATATAAGCAAAAAGAAAAAAGCCGGAAGTGTTGCTGTGGCTCAAGTGGTAGAGCACTAGCCTTGAGCTGAAGAGCTGAGGGACAGTGCCCAGGCCCAGAGTTCAGGCCCCACGACTGGACCCCCCAAAAAAAATTAAGTAAGTAAGTAATGTGTAGATAGAGGATTGAACTCAGGGCCTAGGGGCTATCCCATAGCTTTTTCACTCAAGGCTGGCACTCTACACTTGAACCATACCTCTACTTCCAGCTTTTGGTAGAGAGTTGGAGATAAGGGTTTCATAATTGTTCCTGCCTGGGCTGGCTTCAAACCACAATCCTCAGATCTTAGCCTCCTGAGTAGCTAGGATTACAGGTGTGAGCCACTGGGGCCAAGCAGAATTTCTATTTTTAAGTTGTCTATAACTCATTTAACTAATGGTTGACTATGATTAATTTCCTTATAATTGCTTTCTTGATAGTCATTATCAACACTGAGAAGTTCTTACAATGGGAGAAGAATCTGACCTTCAAATTATTCTTTTTGTGTTGTTGTTGGTCGTGGGGCTTGAACTCTGAGCCTGGGCACTGTCCCTCAGCAATTCAGCTCAAGGTTATCACCTTACCACTTGAGCCACAGTGCCACTTCCAGTTTTCTGGTGGTTAATTGGAGCTAAGAGTCTCATAGACTTTCCTGCCCGGGCTGGCTTTGAACTACAATCCTGAGTAGCTAGGATTACAGGAGTGAGCCACCAGTGCCTGGCTTCAAATTATTCTTAAAAGTAATACCATTTATTTTAAAATTCGGATACATAAACATTTTATAGTTTGTACTTTCATAGACATTAAAATTAATTGCTTCTTAATTTTTATTTGACATGCTTCGTATATAAATCAATGAACACTTTCATCTAAAACTTTGTGGTCCTCAAGAAGGTTCCAGCTCTAGGTCTGTGATATGTCTAACCAGTCCAGGAACTGTGGCCATGAATCTAGAAGGCCAAGGGAATCCAGAGTGTAGACTAGGACAGCATGTGGCTGAGTGGGAAAAATAAGCTCTCTTTCTAATCAGCATGCTGATTAGAACAACCCCTATTTGTCTACCTTGTCTGCTTCATGATAATCATCAATAAATTTGGTACGATGCTGAAGAATAGCAAGTTATATGCTAAGGAAATTTAGTGGTCATTTCACAATGCTGAAATAAATGGCAAGTGAAAAAGTTTCTATTAAGCATATAGATTATAATCTGTAATAAACTCTAATGCAAGTGTGCTTTCGGGAGTTTATTGAGGAAGTAGTGCATGATTCCAAGAGAGGCATCTACCCCTAAAAGAACAACAAATGTTCATACCTTGCCACTGCTCCAACAGAGCTGCTGGTCTGCCGTCTACCAACTTGTCAAATTTCACATTTGTCTTGTGCTTTTTAATCTTGTGGGTACTTCTCCGCCTAGTTTTTATTTTTCTTATAAAAGTTTAATTGCGGTGCCAGCAGTAATCCTAGCTACTTAGGAGGCTGAGATTTGAGAAACACAGTTCAAACCAGTCCAGGCAAGAGTGAGACTCTTATCTCCAATAAACCACTAGAAAACCAGAAGTGGCACTATGGCTCAAGTGGCAAAGTTCTATCCTTGAGTTGAAAAGCTAAGGGACAGTGCCCAGGCCCAGAGTTCAAGCCCCACGACTGACAAAGAAAAAAGTTTAATTGACAGATATACACTACCACACCAAGCTTTTGTGTTGAAATGGGGTCATGCTAGCTTTTTGTTCAGCTAACCTTGAACTATGATCCTCCCATTCCTACCTCCTGAGTAGCTGACCTTATTGGTGGGAACCACTAGGATTTTCATGTCCTCATGCTTGTTAGGCAGGTGCTCCACCATTAAATCCTACATCCAGCTTTTTTTCTTTTTCTTTTTGTCAGTCATGGGACTTGAACTGGGCCTGGGCACTGTCTGTGAGCTCTTCAGCTCAAAACTAGTGCTCTACCACTTGATCCACAGCGCTAGGTGTCACTAGGTGGCAGTGGTGGATAGGAATGTTGGCAGTGTCTTCCATCTACTCAAAGATAGTTGAGCCTTTTAAGAGACTGTGAGGTCTATGGCTAACAAGAAGGGCATCCTAGCTGGCAGGCCTGGTTAGTCTCTATCTGTACTTGCTATGCTTCAGATATTAAGACCAAAGTTGCTCACTAGATGCAAATATCATAACAAAAGCCACAAAGTTTAGTGCCTGAACATAAGGATATCACAAAAATTTGCCTGTTATCAGGCTCAGTGGGTGTTCTTTGCATGCTTGCAATTAATCATGGGATCTTAGACAAATAACCAATGATGGTCCTGTCAGTGTTTCCTACTGATGTGTGAGCTACAGGAGGGCAGAGCCCATATTATGCATCTAGACCCTCCATCTTGTTTTGATAATTGGCTTCATTTTCCTCTCCAGACGTAAGTATATTTTTTTCTCTATAAAATAACTTTTGTGGGAACAGTGGGGAAAGCTGGGAGAGAGCAAGGGAAGGGGTGACACTGTCTAAAAAGAA